CTCTCTCTCTCTCTCTCTCTCTCTCTCTCTCTCTCTCTTTCCCAGGAATCCAGCAGCTGGGCTAGTCTGAAGCACCCCTGTTATCCTTCTGGCTACAATATATCCATGCTTGCAGAGGAGGTTTTTGGCAGTGAATGTACAAAGAATGATCTTCCAACGAAGTATAGCCCAAAGCGATATATTACTTTCTTTGGACAGAGTAACCCTGAACATTGCAAATTCTTGCTCAGGAGTATCTTTGACCTGACATCCTGCCAGGGAACTGAAAACTGTTCATTTGATGGAGTTTATCAACCACCACTCAGTGGAGACTTCATGGTAGGCATTTCTCTTAGTTAAGCTACACACTGTAGCAGAAATAGTGGTAATGCTTTAGATTAGGGAGTACATATTCACTGAGTTTTCACTCAATAAATTCCTAGCTGCTTATTAATAGTTAGTAAGGTAGTTGTTAAGTTTAGGTTTTGGGTAGGATTAAGGGATCTAAAATATGGTCATGCAGAATAAGGAATTAGTAATTAGTGCTAGTAATATGCATACTAAACAGCTAGTTAATAGTTAGAATTGAAAGTGTTACTGAAATAGTTCACCCAAAAATTAAAATCCTGTCATTATTTACTCAATCATTCCAAACTTGTATGCTTTTATTTTGCCTTACATCTCAATGATGTAATAATGCAGCTCTCAAATCAAATGGGCGCCTTTATGGTTAAGCCTCAATAATGTCAAATGTTATTAATTTCTTGCATGTTATTGTGACCAAACGATATGACATTTTTGCTTAGGCTTATGCAGGCTTCTACTGGACTGCCTGGGCTCTTAAAGTGGAGGGCTCCAAAAGTATGGAGACATTCAACACAAACATGAAACTGTTATGCTCCAAGGACTGGAAAACTGTGAGTATTGACCAGCTGCATAATCATGACAGGAAAATATAGACTGGGAGAAATGATTCTTTGTGTAGATTTGATTGATGTGTAAAATCAATAAAGCTACCTTTTAATGTCCCCCCGACCCCCTTTAGCTCAAGACATCCATCAAAGACATCAAAGACATCCATCTGAAGTCCTACTGCTATTCTGCAAATTATGTGCACAGCATTCTTGCAGATGGTTACAAGTTCAACACAGACAACTGGAAAAATCTAAATTTTCAGAAAGAGGTACATTTCATGTTTAGCATGAGATTAAAAAGATTAAGATTTTTGGACTATTCGCAATTTTTAGCAGGATTCTGAAAAAGGCCAAATGTATTATACTGCTTATTGGTTTACAAAATAACTAATCTCATTACAAAGAAACGTACTTGTTTACTAACGGAACCTCAGTTCCCTGAGATACGGGAACGAGTATTGCGTTTACTAAGATGCTTTGGGGAAAACTAATTTTTCTCAGAATACTGAAGCCTTTTTCAATCACGCAGTTTAACTACACGGCCATTGGTTTGTGCAGTGTATTATTAAAAATGAACCAATGGCTCGGCAGCGGAGCTGCACGAGCCTATGGCGACATAACCCGCCAAATTGGGCGATGCATCTGGCTATATAAGCGTGCACTTCGCCGAGGTTACGTTAGTAACCGAGTACGTTTCCTATCGATACTTCACTCGTACTGCGTCTGCTAAGATGCTTTGGGGAACCAGTATAATCCCGCCGTGCTATGTTAGAGGAACGACCAATGCTTGAACTTGCCTTGAGCACCAAGGGCCCAGAGGGACCAAGTAATTGCAGGGAAGCCCCACAGGAAGTGATAGGGCCAAACTCACAGAGGTCGGCCCGGCGCTAAGTAATCACTCCAAGAAAAATCGTACAGCCTCGGAACCCGGTGGGGGCCAAGAGCCTACAGAGAAGGCAAACGCCTGATTTAACACTGGTTTTACCAGATTAAGTCCATTTAAGCAGAAAGGACCCGAGCCTGTAAAGCTGGGAAATCCAGATTATAAAACCTGGTAAATGTGGACGGCGAGGCCCAGAC